CCTGGCCGAGCAGAGGCAGAAGGAGGCGGAGAAGAAGGCGCTGGGCAGCGCGGCCCCGGCCAAGAAGCCGGAGGGGGACGCGGGTGCCCACCGGGGCGAGGAGGTGATGCCAGGCCCTGTGTTCCCCCAGCTGCCCCCCGCCTACCCCTCCCAGCCCCTGGAGCCAGCCCTGGGCGCTAAAATAGCCGCTTTTCCCACGGGCTATTCCGGCGTTTTCACCTTCCCCAGGCCCTCCGTGGGCAGCGCGGAGGGGCCGCACCCCCCCGGGTGCCCCGAGGGCCGGAGGCAGCTGGCGGGGGGGCCCTGCGGGAGCCTCCCCCCCTACGCCACCCTGCCCCGGCACCACCAGGCCCGGCCCGGCCCCCCTGGCCCTGCCCAGCCGGGCAGGTTCTCCCCCACGGACATGGACATCCAGCCCCCCTTCCCGCCGGAGTGCGAGGGCTCCGGCTGCCTCCCCCCCCCCAGCAACGGCTGCCGGGAATTCCTGGAGCAGGACAAGGGGGGAGCAGCGGATAAAACGAGAAGCCGAGCCCTCTACAACATCCAGCAGACCAAGTGCAAACAGCCCAACTGCAGCTTTTACGGACACCCGGAGACTGGGAATTTCTGTTCCTGCTGTTACAAGGAGGAGCTGCGGCGCCGGGAGCGGGAGGCGCTGGTGCACAGGTTCTGACGCTCCCCCCACCCCCGTGCGGATCTGGGACCCCCGGCACACGGGGAATGCAATAATATAGATCCATTATGGTTTTATACACACACCCCCCCCCCGCCCCCCTTCCCGGGAGCGGGCGATCGTGGGATTGGGCTGGTGGGATGGAGGGGGCTGCAGGAGGGAGAGGGCAGGGGAAAACCAGCCCCCGCCTTCCCGGAGCCCCTGCGAGGGAGGAGGAGGATTCCCGGGGATGGCTTGGGACAGCGGGGGCTGCTCGGGTCGGAGCACAGGGTGGAGAGGGGGGAGAATTCCTCAAAAACTCAATAAACCAGACCAAAGCTTTGGGAGCTGAGGGGGAGGGTGAGGGGAGGCAGCCCCCGCCGGGTCCTTCCCGTCGCCCCCGACCGCCCGGGACGGAGCGAAAACGCCCCAGTTGGAGCGTCACAAACCTTTTAATGGAGTTTTTTTAACACTGGTTTTATTCTGTATTTCTTCTTGCTGGTACTGAGCGACGGTCGGAGTTGGACACTGGTGGGGTGGGGTGGGTCGGACTCCCCCTGCCCGGCCCCGGGATGGCTCCGAGCGCTGGGAGGGCGGGCTCGGGCTCTTCCCCCGCCCCTGACGGGCTCAGCTCTGGTTTTAAAAATGCTCTTTTTAAACACTTCCTGGGGCAGGGGGAGCTCCCAGCGCTCCAGGGGTTGGAGCTTTATCTTCCCGTGTGGAAGCCCCAGCCCGCGGGAGAACCGAAGGTCGGCGTCTCCTGCCCGGAATTCCCGCCGGAGTGGGGCAGATCCCCCCAGGGCAGGGGGGGATCAATCCGGGGGGGGGTCGCATAACTCCGTACTTGAGCACAGCTACTCCGTACTACCTCTGATCCCGATTAACTCGGCTCCGTTGTGCTGAGCCACCAACTGACCTTTAGGCTGCGGAATTAATCCATATTTTTGATAACAGGGCTAAAAAGCGGAACACTAAGGTAAAAATCCTCCCGTGACTAATGTCCCACGGCATTCCCAGCCCCATCCCGGCCTCCCCCTCACCCCCCCCCCCGCCAGCTCCCAGGGTGGGATTCACTTTAGCACTGCGAAGTTTGCACAGAATTCCTTGGGTTTTTTGGTAACTGCAGCTCCCAAACCGGCCCCAGTCCTGCACAGAGCGAGGTGCAGCGTTTCCCATCACATGGAAATAAAACAGGAGTTCTATCCGTCAGCCCGAGCTTTACAACATTCCCTTGTTTTTATTTTGGGGTTTGTTTTCCAGAAGGCACCAAACTATGCAACCCCCCCCCCTCCCGAGCTGCTCCTGCCTGTGGCCCTTCCTGGGAGAAGGGATAGGGGATGGGGTGGAGGAGCTGGAAGGGTGCTGAGCTCGAGGCTCACCCGATGCCTTATGCTTGGCCCTGCAAATGTTGACTTAGACCTAAAACCCCCCCGAATTAAGGCCTTTCCGAGTGGCATCCCAACACTTTGAATCCACCCAACAATACACGAATTTTCAAATCCGAATTTCAAACGCCCCGGGGATGGTTTGACTCCAGTTTTAAGTCGTTTCCCCTGGTTTTATGAAATCCCCGAGCGTGGCTGAAGCTGTGGGACAGAGTCGGTGCTCCTGGGGGTCGCTCCTGCTCCCTCTGGCTCCTCTGGCCTCGGAACAAAAGGCCAGAGAATGCAGTTTTTCCCTCAAACTGCAGGAATTCCGATGGACTTTACCCCCGGGGCAGGGATGTGCCACAGGCTCTGCCCCCGCTTGGTTCACCCCGGATTTTGAGCCGAGGTGGTTTAAAACCAAACCAAACCTTCGACTGTTGTGTGGGCACTCGGGTTTAAGTTCCAGTTTCCCATGTTCGTTTTTCCCAAAATCAGAGCAGCAGGTTTATTTTGGGGTTGGGAATGTCCTCCAGCTGTGCCGGGAGCTCCGGGAGCAGGGATGCCCCACGGCACAGGGGGGAAGGCAGGAGGTGACACTTCACTGCTGGTTCCTCGAGTTTTGGGAGAATTTCTCTGCAATTTGGTTAAATCCATCCCGATGGGTGCTGGCTTTGGGTGGGGGTGGGAAGTGCCTGGACCCGCTCGCTGCTTTATTGGGTTTGGGGTGGGGGAGAGAGAGAGGGAAAATGCAGAAAACCTGGAGGAAAAGCACCAAACCTGCCCCGGGGAGGGATTTTTCTGGGATGGGGACAGGGAGGCTGCAATGTGACCCCAAGGTCAAACTAAGTGCACTTACTGGTGTGGTTGGAATTCAAATCGCTGCCATCGGATCCTGGTTGGAAGAAAACTTTGTCTTTCAGGGTGTGTAAAACCCCGTTCTTGGGATTTTCTTTGATTTTATGAAATGAGATTCACCTTCGCCGCTCCCCGGCCCCCTCGGCGGGGGAGGCCGGGGCAGCTTTGGGTCTCACTAACGCCGAGTGACCTGAATTAATTCTGCAGTGGTTTATTCACAAAAAAAAAAAAAAAAAGAAAAGCAAAACCAACCTTTTTTTTTTATTATTATTATTATTATTATTAGTAATTCCGTATTAATTGGTGATATTCGGCCTCCTGGTGAGCAGGGCTGGAGCGGCGCGGTCGGGCTGTACCTGCGGCCTCGTTGTGCTGCCACAGACTCACTGACAATAAAAACCTTCAGCTGATGCACCTGGGCAGTGCTGAGGCTCCTTCCTCCCCTCAACCCCTCCTGGGGACCCCAATTCCCTCCTGGGGCTGCTCCTCATCCCCTTCTCCATCCCCAAAACAGCTGATGCACCCGGGCAGCGCCGAGGCTCCTTCCTCCCCTCACGCTGGGGGTCCCCAATTCCCCCCCTGGGGCTGTTCCTCATCCCCTCCTCCATCCAATTATTGGGATTTTGGGGGGGTTTTCTGTCCACTGAGGAGCAGTGTCCTCTCTCCTGGGGAGCGGGTAAGTTCCCCTTCTATTCCTTTTATTTCCTTCTATTCCATTTGTTCTGTGATTCCATTTCTGCACCAATTCTAGGCTTTGACTTAAAAAAGAACCCCGTAACCACCCCTCCCTCTCCCGTTTCTGTCCATCCTCGCTGATTTTGGAGCCTTTTCCCCAACTGCATCCCAAGGACAACCCCGAGGGATGCTCTGGTTTTTGACCCCAGCCTCAGGATAAAATCCAGGGATAAAATCCAGCTGCCTCCCAGCATGGGCTGTCCAAACACTGAAGCTTTAAATGGGTTCAGAAAGAGGAAAACGGGGTTTGGGGGTGGTTGGAGGTGGACTGTGGGAGGTGGGACCCTGGGCACGGCTTCCCGTGGGATTTCTGTGCACTGGGATTTCCTCTCCCAGCTCCTGGTGTTTTCCCTTCCTCCCAGTGTTCCCAGTGGCTGCTCCGTACCCGGTGCCACGTCTGTGCCGGACGATTTTCCTCCAGGATTTTTTCTGCTGGGGTGGCCCGGGCTGACCCCGCGCTGGCAGTGGAGCAGCTCCCGGCTCAAAGCCTCCAGGAAATTCCTCTCATCTGCCAGGTGCCGGAGCCAAAATCCCATCCAAGCCCCCGGAATCCTCCGCCAGGTGATTCTCCTGCAGGAGGAAAACGGGGGCACACGAGCTGCAGCCCCCGGGGCTGGGGCTGCCCCAAAAATCTGGGGGGAAACACACCAAAAATGGGATTTGGAGCTCCAAATGTGCTCTGATGGGTTTTCCATGAGCCTGGGTTGTGTCAGGATTTACATCCCCGTGTGCTGGTGCTGCTGCCGCCTTGGCAACCTTGGGGTTTGGGGGTCCCGGGGGTCTCGTGGCACTTGGGGGGTGGCACAGGTGGCCCCAGGGCCACCATCCACCTGCCGCCGGGTGCGGGGGCGGCGAGGCGGGGGCCGGGTGGGCCCGGCTCGGGAGCCGCTGTTCCAGCTGGGAGGAGAAGGCTCCGTGCTTGGGCCGTGAGTCACCGCGCTCCGCCCGGCCCCGGGAGAGGCCCCGGGGCCCCCCCGAGACGCTGCGGGGACGGGACGGGGTTTGGGGGTTCCCCTGCCCGGGGCAGCGCTTATGGGGGGCCGGGGCTCGGGGACCGCAGGACCGCCCGTCCCTGGCGGGGTCCCCGGGGCTGCGGGGACCCCAGAACGGCCCGTCCCTGGACGGGGTCCCCAGGGCTGTCCCCTCCACCACCCCTCCACCATCCGCCTGGGCTCTCCCCGCTTTCCCCCCGCCGGGACCGGGCGCTGGGATGGCGGGGGGCGGGATGCCGGGAGCGGAAGGGTCGGGATGTCGGGACGCGTGGAATCCCGGGTCCCTGGGGGGGCGGGATGCCGGGGCAGGGATGCCGGGGGAGGGCGGGATGCCGGGGTGAGGGGCGGGATGCCGGGGCCGGGCCGGGCGCTCCGGGCTCCCTCCCGGCCGCTCCGGCCCCGCCGCTCCGGGCCCGCCCGGCCAAAGTCCCTGCGCCATGAACGGGGCCCCGGGCGGGCGCCGCCCGGCCTTCCCCGGGCTCCCAGGTAGGGCCGGGGCCGGGACCGGGGGGTCCGGGGGGCCCAGTGGGGCTCGGGGGGCTCGGGGCCCTCGGAGCCCCGGACCCAGTGCCGGTCCCCGCAGGGGAGCGGGTGCTGGAGGAGGCGGCGGGCGCCCGGCAGCGCTGCGGGGACGGCGGCGGCTCCGTCCCGGGAACGCTGCTCTGCACCAACCGCCGCCTCGCCTTCCTGCCCGGCCAGGTGCGACGGGAACGCCGGGAATACCGGGAACGGGACCGCGGGACCCCGCGCTGCCCCCCCGCAGCCCGACCCCAAACCCACCGCATCCCTTTCCCATCCCGACCCCATCTCACCGCATCCCTTTCCCATCCCGACCCCATCCCACCGCACACCCCTGTCCCATCCCGACCCCATCTCACCGCATCCCTGTCCCATCCCGACCCCATCTCACCGCACCCCTGTCCCATCCCGACCCCATCTCACCGCATCCCTGTCCCATCCCGACCCCATCCCACCGCACCCCGACCGTCAGGCCAGCCCCTTCCCACCCCATCCCAGCCTCATCCCAGCTTCACTCCAGACCCATCCTGCCCCCCATCCTGGTTGCATCTACACCCCCTGCCAGCTCCACCTCAGCCCCATTCCAGCTCCATCCCAACCCCATCCCAGCCCACCCTGGCTGGTCGAATGCGGAACCGCCGTGTTCGCCCCGGGAGCTCCTCGCAGCAGGACGGTGTGGGGGACGAGGAACAAGGAATGAGGGACACGGGACAGCCGTAGGGCCCCGATCCATCCCCACCACCCTTCCTGGGATCGGGGGGGGACGCTCCGGGGCAGCTTCCAGCCCTCCCTGCTCTCCCTCAGGCCCCCGGCTCCCACGGCCTCCTCCGCTCCGAGGACGAGGTGGCCCTGCCCTGCATCCGCGAGCTGGTGGCAGGTAATAGGACACCGCGGGGCACGTGTGATGAGCTGGGCAGGTCTCAGCTCTCAGCCCTGTGTGATGAGCTGGGCAGGTCTCAGCTCTCAGCCCTGTGTGATGAGCTGGGCAGGTCTCAGCTCTCAGCCCTGTGTGATGAGCTGGGCAGGTCTCAGGTCTCAGCCCTGTGATGAGCTGGGCAGGTCTCAGCTGGCCCTCACGGCCTCCCCCTCCCCGTGCCCCCCCAGCCAGCAGCTTCTCCAAGCCCAAGGTGCTCACGGCCACCTCCACCCTCAAGTTCATCCCCGAGGAACTCGCCGTGTTCTGCCGGGATTTCCGACTGCTCCGTTTCCACTTCCCCGAGAACGGGTTGGCTCTGCAGGCGTTCCGGGTGAGCCGGGGGGGGAGTGCAGAAGTGTTGGACCCTCACTCTGGGTTCTGGGGGGGTCGGGGGGCTCACACCCCACCCTGGCTGCCCTCGCAGGTGGCCAATGCCATCGCCCAGGCACGGGAAGCAGCCATGCAGCCAGGGGATGCCACCGAGGGACACGATGGCTGGTCCTGCCCTGCCGAGGCCCCCCCGGAGGAAGAGGAGGAGGATGAGGAGGGCGATGAGGAGGAGGAAGGCCTGGGTGCCACGCTGCTCTTTGAGAGCCTGCAGGACTGGGAGAAGGAGCTGGAGCGTTTGGGTGCCGCGGGCTGGAGGGTGAGCGTCGTCAACGAGCGCTTCGACATGGCCCCCAGGTATGGCCCTGCCGGGCACGGGGGTCCCTGGGCCCCCCAACACCCAGGGGGGTGTCACAGCATGGACCTCCCACCCCCCCAGAGGGATCAGCCACATAGGGCTGTGGGGAAACCCCCCCTCCGTCTGCCCCTGTGGTTTGGGGAAAACACCCCCTGAGCCACTGGAAACGGCACCCGCGGTTTGGGGGGACCCCACCCTGTGCCCCCCTGCCCGCAGCCTCCCCCGGTACCTGTGGGTGCCCAGTGGGCTCCTGGACCACGACCTCAAGAGAACCTTCGGCCACTTCCAGGAGCGCCGGGTGCCCGTGAGTGCCCGGGGGGCCATGGGGGGGTGGGCAGGGGGCTGGGAGGTGATGTTGGGGGGGTCACCCTCTTTGTCCCACAGCGCCTGTGCTGGCACCACCCGGGCGGGGGGGACCTGCTGAGAGCTGCCGGCTTCCACCCGGCCTCGGAGCCGGGCAGCGAGGACGTGAGGTGGGTCCCAGGGGGTCCCCGGGGGGAGGGCTGGGGGTGTCACCCCGGCCTGGCCCCACCCGGGGGTCCCTGTGCCCCCCAGGTGCCTGGAGATGCTGCTGCTGGGGGGCCGCGGGCCCTGCGTTCTGGCCGACACGGCCGAGCTGCCCTCGCCCGCCGACGTCCAGCTCGCCCACCTCAAGCTGCGGGCACTCTGCCTGCCTGGTGAGCAGCACGGGGGGGGCCCCTGGAGACCCCCAAACCCACCAGGGGGAGGGGGGCCTTCTCCTCGCTGACCCCTCATCCTGTGGGATCCAGGAGCGGTGGTGGAGGAGAAGTGGCTCTCGGCCCTGGAGGGGACGCGCTGGCTGGACCATGTCCGGTGAGTGGGTGACAAGGAGGGGCTCTTCGGGGTGCAGGGCGGCATTTTGGGGTGTAGGGGGGATATTCCCCTAAACCCCCACTCCTCACAGCGGGATGACCCCCTCCAGGTGGCTGTGGGGCAACTGGGGGCACTGTGGTGTGTGTGGGAGCCCCCCAGGGTGGGCTGCAGCCCCCCTGGGCAGGTGACTGTGGCATTTTGGGGTGCCCTGACCGCTTCCTTTTGCCCCCCAGCACCTGCCTGAGGAAAGCCGTGGAGGTGGTATCGCTGCTGGCAGGGAGACGCTGCTCCGTGGTCCTGCAAGGTGGGGGCACCGGGAGGGGGGTGCAGGGGGATGGAAAGGGGACCCCCCCTCACCACCTCACCCCCCAGAGCCCTCGGACCGGGACCTGAACTGCCTGCTGGCCTCGCTGGTGCAGCTCCTGGGGGACCCCCACGCCCGCTCCTTGCCCGGCTTCCAGAGCCTGGTGCAGCGGGAGTGGGTGGCAGCCGGACACCCCTTCCCGCGCCGCCTGGGGCTGCTCCGCCGGGACACCCCCCGGGAGGAGGTGAGACCCCCATCCCTGTCCCCACGGGGTGACAGGAGACAGGACCCCCCTCGGGAGGAGGTGGGACCCCCCCATTCCTGTCCCCACGGGGTGACAGGAGCCAGGACCCCCCATGGTTAGGAGGAGGTGAGATCCCTCCATCCCCATCCCCACGGGGTGACAGGAGTGTCCCCCCGGCAGGCCCCCGTGTTCCTGCTGTTCCTGGACTGCACGTGGCAGCTCCTGCGGCAATTCCCGGCGGATTTCGGCTTCACCGAGGCGTTTCTCCTGGCGCTCCACGACAGCAGCTTCAGCCCCTACTTCAGCACCTTCCGCTTCAGCTGCCAGCGGCAGCGGGGCCACGGCAGCCCGGTGAGGGGGCCGGGGGGCACTCCCGCATCCCAAACTGGGCAGGGACACCCCCAAACCCTCCCATTTCACCCCTTCTCCTCCCCGGTGCCTCGGTGTTCCCATCCCAAACTGGGCACTGACCCCCCCCCGACTCCATCTCTCCCTGCAGCCCCGGCCCCGCAGCCAGACCTACCGCCCGGTGGGTGGTTGGCAGGACCCCTCGGGGGGGCCCGGGGGGCACAGGGGGGGCCCCTCTGCCTGCCCCTTCCCCCCGGTCTGGGCCTGGGGGCTGCGCTACAGCCGAGAGCAGCGGGAGCGATTCCGGAACCCCGCGGGACCCCCGGCCCCCGCCGAGCCCCCGACCCCGGACGGGGTGAGTGAGGCTGGGCTGGGGGGGGGGCTGCACCCCTTGTTTGCCCCCCATTTGCCCCTCCAGCTGGCTTTTCCCTCCCTTTTTTCACTAATCCCTATTTTCCCTCCCTGCCCCATTTTTTCCCTTCCCAATGGATCCCCCCCCCCTTTTTTCCTTAATCCATATTTCCCTGCGTTTTCCCTTCCCTCCCTGCTGATTTCCCCTCTCCTTTTTTTTCCCCTAATCCCTATTGCCCACCATTCCTCTCCCCCTCTGCTGGATTTCCCCCCATTTTCCCTAATCCCTGTTTTCCCCCCTTTCCCAGCCTGCAGCCCCCTGCCCTTGGCGGGGGGCCGGGCCCGTGCTGGCGCTGGCCAAGGGCTCGTTGTGCCCCCACCCCCTGCCCTGGCGGAGCAGCCGCCCCCCCCTGCGCCCCCCACAGCGGGACCCCCCCCTGGAGAGCCGGGGGGCACGGGGGGGCATCTCGGGGGGCTCCTGCCCCCCCCCCGGGCTGCTCCTGCCCTGCACGGCCGGACCCTGCGTCCGGCTCTGGCACCGCTGCTACCTCAGGGGGCTGCCCCAGGAACAGGTACCGGGATGGGGGGAGCTGGGGGGGTCCTGCTTCAGGGGGGTCTTGCTTTGGGGGGGTCCTAACCTGTCCTACTGCTTGGGCTGGAGGGGACAGTGGGGGGGTTCTTGTATGGCCATGCCCATCCGGACCCCGTGTCCGCTCATCCATCCCCATCCGTGTCCCCTGTATCCATCCATGGGATGGATGGATGGGGGACCCCATGTCCATCCATCCTGCCCCATCCATGTCCCTGTTCCATGTCCCTGTGCCCATATCCCTGTCTCTGTCCCATTCCCATATCCCTGTCCATGTCCCTGTCCCATTCCCATGTCCCTGTCCCGTGTCTCTGTCCCATTCCCATGTCCCATGTCTCTGTCCCATTCCCGTGTCCTGTGTCCCTGTCCCATTCCCACATCCCATTCCCGTGTCCCTGTCCCATTCCCGTGTCCATGTCCTGTATCCACACTGTCTCTCCACAGCGTGGGCGCTTTGCCCCATCTTGGTCCGGCCTGGTCGAGGAGTTGGAGCTGCTCCAGGACCGGCTCCGTGCCTGGAACACGTGGAGACCCCGCTGAGCCCCCGGAGAGCACCTGACCCAGCATGGCTCTGGGATCCCACCAGGATCCCTTGGGATTTGGGGTCTCCTGGAACCGCCTGGCGCCCCCGGTTCCTCTCCGGGCATTCCAGGGGGCCCGGGAAGGGCAGAGGGGGGACCCGGCTTTCCATTAAACCTGTGCTGCCTCCACGAGGCCTGAGGAGCTCCAGGATGAGATGGGATTGGAGCGGAAGGGATTGGAGGAGACGGGATGGGACTGGGAATGGGGATGGGAATGGGATGGGAAGGGAATGGGATGCGATAGGAATGGGATGGGGACATGGCAGGAGCCCAGAACTGGGACCCTCAGCCCTGGGATCTCTTGGCACTGAGATCCCCTGGAACTGGAATCTCTTGGCACTGAGATCCCCTGGAACTGGAATCTCTTGGCACTGGGATCCCCTGGAACTGGGATCTCTTGGCACTGGGATCCCCTGGAACTGGGATCTCTTGGCACTGGGATCCCCTGGAACTGGGATCTCTTGGCACTGGGATCTCCTGGAACTGGGATCCCCCAGCACTGGATGCCCCGGCACTGGGACGGATCTCTTGGTACTGGGACCCCCTGGCACTGAGCACTCCCGGGCACCGAGGGCGCTCTCTCCCGGCCACGCGGGCGCTGCCGTCGCCTGTCGCGGGCGATATCGCGACAGACGGGAAGGGCGCTGCCGCCCGGCCGCCCCTCCCGCCCACACCCAAGATGGCCGCCGCGCCTTCCCCGCCGGACGCCACTTCCGGCCCGCCTCCCCGCGGGCGACGCGGTGACGTCACGGGCGTGCGTCGCCGCGCGCGCGGGAGCGGGACAAGATGGCGGCGGGGCCGATCTCGGAGAGGAACCAGGGTGGGAAGGGGAGGGGGACGGGGGGCGCTGGGGGGCACTGAGACCATGGGGGGAGGCACCGGGAGGACCCTGGGGACGCGGAGGGAAGGGCACCGGCGGGCTCTGGGGACATAGGGGGGGCGGTCTGGTGTCCCGAGGGAGAAGGGGGGGCTGGAGGGGCCGCCTGGGTAAGGGCGGATTTGGGGGGATCTGGTGAAGGTTTGGAGGGGCTTTGACTTGAGGGATCCCAGCCCCGAGCCCCCCGTTATCCCGAGGTTTTCCGGCTCTGACCTGCATTCCCACAGATGCCACGGTGTACGTGGGGGGCCTGGACGAGAAGGTCAGCGAGCCCCTGCTCTGGGAGCTCTTCCTGCAGGCCGGGCCCGTGGTCAACACGCACATGCCCAAGGACCGGGTCACGGGCCAGCACCAGGGTGAGAGACCCCCCCAAATCCCAACGGGGACCCCGCAAATCCCAAGGAGGGGCAGAACGGGGGGCGGGAGGACACGGGTGGGGTGTCCAGCAGCAGGGTGAGGGGCTGGGACCCCCAGACCTGAGCAGGGGGCAGAGCCGGGGTGGAATTGGGGTGGGGAGAGGGGGGGGATCATCTTCCATCCCACAGGGGGTGTTTGGGGCCCAGGGTTTAGATTAAGTAGGGATTGAATGAAATGTCAGGTGGGGGCAAAATCAAATCAAGGGGGGTCCAATCCATAATTAAATGGGTTTTTGAGTCAATCAGGGTTTAGATCAAGTGGGGATGAAATGAAGTATCAGGTGGGGTTAAAATCAAATAGAGGGGGTTCCAATCCATAATTAAATGGGGTTTTGAGTCAACTGAAGTTTAGATCAAGTGGGGGGATCTCCCCTCTCCTGAAGACCCACTGGGTTCCCCCCGAGCTCCCTAGGGTGCCCCTGAGCCCTTTGGGGTCCCCCAGGGTACGGGTTCGTGGAGTTCCTGAGCGAGGAGGACGCCGACTACGCCATCAAGATCATGAACATGATCAAGCTCTACGGGAAACCCATCCGAGTGAACAAGGCCTCGGCCCACAACAAGAACCTGGACGTGGGCGCCAACATCTTCATCGGCAACCTGGACCCCGAGATCGACGAGAAGCTGCTCTACGACACCTTCAGCGCCTTCGGGGTCATCCTGCAGACCCCCAAGATCATGCGGGACCCCGACACGGGCAACTCCAAGGGCTACGCCTTCATCAACTTCGCCAGCTTCGACGCGTCGGACGCGGCCATCGAGGCCATGAACGGGCAGTACCTGTGCAACCGGCCCATCACCGTGTCCTACGCCTTCAAGAAGGACTCCAAGGGCGAGCGGCACGGCTCGGCCGCCGAGCGGCTGCTGGCGGCACAGAACCCGCTCTCGCAGGCCGACCGCCCCCACCAGCTCTTCGCCGACGCCCCCCCGCCCCCCTCGGTGCCCACGCCCGTGGTCACCGCGCTGGGGCCCGGCGTCACCCCCCCAGGTGGGTGAGATGCGGGGCTGGGGGTCCTGAGGGGGTCACGGTCACATGAGGGGGGTGACAGTGACATTGGGGGGCTCACGGTGACACCCCACCCTGGGGCCCAGGTGTCACCCCCCCAGGTGGGTGAGATGCGGGGCTGGGGGTGCTGAGGGGGTCATGGTCACATGCGGGGGGTGACAGTGACATTGGAGGGGTCATGGTCACATGGGGGGTGACAGTGACATTGGAGGGGTCATGGTCACATGAGGGGGGTGACAGTCACATTGGAGGGGTCATGGTCACATGGGGGGTGACAGTGACATTGGAGGGGTCACAGTGACACCCCACCCTGGGGCCCAGGGTTCACCCCCTCAGGTGGGTGAGATGTGGGGCTGGGGGCCTGGGAGGGTCACATGAGAGGGTTGACAGTGACACTGGGGGGGGTTATGGTCACATGGGGGGTTTGGGGTGACTTCACCACCCTGGGGCTTAGGGGTCACCCCCCCGGGTGGGTGGGAGCTGGGGCTGGGGGCTGTGAGGGTGGGTCACAGTCACATGGGGGGCTCGGGGCTCCCAGGACTCTCCCGATTCCCTTCCCCGTGTTTTTCTGACTGGGGGGTTTCCCCTTCCCCAAATTCCCGCTGTGTATTCCAGGCCTGCCTCCCCCTGGCTCGTTCCCGCCGCCGGTGCCGCCGCCCGGGGCGCTGCCCCCCGGGATGCCCCCGGCCATGCCCCCCCCGCCGATGCCACCGGGTGCCGGAGCCCCCGGACCCCCCTCGGGGGCTGCCCCGGCAGGGGGGCACCCACCCCACCCACACCCCTTCCCACCCGGCGGGATGCACCACCCAGGTACGGATCCGGCCGGGAATGGGGCCGGGAGTGGGGATCGGCTTCTGTTGTGGTGGGGGGTGAGAGGATCCCTCCTCCAATCACGGAGGGAGGCCCGGCGGGATTTCCAAAGGATTTGGGGAATTTAGGGAGTCGTGGCATTCTGGGAGGCACCTGGGCAGGGAGAGGGGGGCTGGTTTCCTTGAGCTGGGAAGGTGTGGGATGCAGGGAGGGAGGGATGTGGGAAGGAAGGGGCACAGGAAGGAAGGCAGGGATGGAGGGAAGGAAGGCAGAGATGCAGGGAAGGAAGGCAGGGATGCAGGGAAGGAAGGCAGGGATGCAGGGAAGGAAGGCAGGGATGCAGGGAAGGAAGGCAGGGATGCAGGGAAGGAAGGCAGGGATGCAGGGAAGGAAGGCAGGGATGCAAGGAAGGAAGGCAGGGATGCAGGGAAGGAAGGCAGGGATGCAGGGAAGGAAGGCAGGTTTGCACAGAAGGAAGACAGGAATGCAGGGAAGGAAGGCAGGGATGCAGGAAAGGAAGGCAGGGATGCAAGGAAGGAAGGCAGGAGCTAATTTAGGGATTAATAATTCAAGGAAACAAGTAGTTTCCCTGATTCCATTTTGGCCCCGTGGCCCCGGGAAGGAGCCGTGGCTGCGCCTCAGCTCCGGGTTCAAAAGCCCCGATTTTGTGAAATGTGCAATTTAATGATTCTCTGGGATTTGTTTGATCCTGTGGCTCCAGAGCTGCCCTGATTAGGGAGCTTTGTGTGATCCTCCCTGGCCGTGCCGGGAGCAGATGGTGGCGGGGCCTGAGCGGAGCCAATTACACCCGGAGAGGGAAAACCGGGCGCTGGAGCTTCCCAGGGGGAGGAAGGAATCAGTTTGTTGGACTTTTTGTCAACAGGATAAAATGGGATAATTGAGAAAAAGCAGGTTTTGGGGGGGATCCTGGCTTCCTCAGTCAGGGCAGGGCGGGCTCCAGCACCAGTGTGCTCTGGGAGCTTGTCCAGAATCTCCAAGGATGGTGATTCCTCGCTGTCCCAGGGCTGCACATACTCAGGATCCCATCTCTTTTCCCGCACACACTTTCTATTCCATCTGTTTTCCCACACACTTGCATCCAGGCCCTTTCCTCTTGCTGTTGGCTTCGTGTTCCCTCCTTTTTAACCCCCTTTTCAGCAGCAGAAGCTCCTCTGCATCCCTCACTGCCCGGACCCAGCTGGAATTCCAACCCCCTTGGGGGTGCCGGGAGCTGCTTCCCTGCTTCCCTGCACCCCTAACTCCGTTGTCCCCCCAGGAATGCCACCGATGCAGGTGCACCACGGACCTCCCGGGATGGGCCAGCACCACCCAGGACCCCCAGGCTCCGGAGGGCAGCCACCCCCCCGGCCCCCCCCGGGAATGCCCCACCCAGGACCCCCCCCAATGGGGCTCCCACCCCGGGGGCCGCACTTCGGATCACCCATGGGTGAGTGGGATCTGCTCTGGGGGGGATCTGGGGAACCCACGGGGCGGGGAGGGCTTGGGGGGGCACCCATGGGAGAGGCTGGGGGGCACCTGCTGGATGTGGCACCCACAGGGGGGGTCTTGGGGGGGGGCACCCACGGTGGGGGGTGTGGGGAGTTTGAGGGGCACCCGCTGTCCCTGGAACTCCTGGGGTGGGTTGGGAGGGTTTTGGGGGGCACTGCCCGTCCCCCCCCGGGCACTGACCCCCCGTCTGTCCCACAGGTCACCCCGGGCCGCTGCCGCACCACGGGCTCCGCGGGCCCCCCCCGCTGATGCCGCCCCACGGCTACAACGGGCCCCCCCGGCCCCCCCCCTACGGATACCAGAGGGTCCCGCTGCCCCCACGGCCGGCACAGAGCCCCCCCGGGGTGCCCCCCCGCGGGCCCCTGCGGGGACCCCTGCCCTGAGAGGGGGGGCAGCCCCCCCACCCCACTCGGGACCCTCTGTGTCCGTCCTCGGCCTTCCCGGCCCCCTCGGACCAACATTCCCACTCCTGGGGGGGACTGGGGGTGTCCCTCCCCTCCGTCCTTGCCCCCTCCAC